GAGTGTTCACAGCTACTGAACACTATCTTTAAAACAACTACAACTAATAAATACAGAATAATTATCCAGTCTAGAATATTAATCAATCATTTCGTACTGTTTCACCACTGTCCCAGGTAAGAGGGCCCGTTAACATGTTTAACCCCGCCACATTATGTATGGATGTGACTGTCCTAAGTAAGGAGCCTGTAATTCAATGATTATCGTTTGTTGCTGTGCTTTCGTTCATTTTTTTGTACATTAGTTAGGCCGTTAGTTTTATCGTTATAGTTGTTTTACATTTGTGGCCTCTTATAGATGACTATTCGGTATGGGCTTTACTCATTGTTAAAGGTCGTACGGTGGCCTATAGTTGTTAATTGCTGTGTCATTTGGTTTCTTGTGAAGAGTTGTCTCATTTGCAATCATACTACATCTTTTTTGTACATACCACAAATTAAGTAAAAAAATACATTAACACTCTAGAAAAGCAAGACCTTGTGTCATGTCAAAAGCACAGAGTGTCGGTAGGACCATTTGTGTTCATAACTGTATAGTAAAATTGAGAATGGAAATGGGGAATGTGTCAAAGAGACAACAACCCGACCATTGAACAGACAACAGCAGAAGGTCATCAACAGGTCTTCAATGCAGCAAGAAATTCCCGCACCCGGAGGCGTCCTTCAACTGGCCCCTAAACAAATATATATACTAGTTCAGTGATAATGAACGCCATACTAAACTCCAAATTGTACACAAGAAACTAAAATTAAAAATAATACAAGACTAACAAAGGCTAGAGGCTCCTGACTTGGGACAGGCGCAAAAATGCTGCGGGGTTAAACATGTTTATGAGATCTCAACCCTCCCCCTATACTCTAGCCAATGTAGAAAAGTAAACGCATAACAAAACGCACATTAAAATTCAGTTCAAGAGAAGTCCGAGTCTGATTCCAGAAGATGTAACCAAAGAAAATAAACAAAATGACAATAATACATAAATAACAACAGACTACTAGCAGTTAACTGACATGCCAGCTCCAGACTTCAATTAAACTGATTGAAAGATTATGTCTTCATTATATGAATATCAGGCACAATCCTTCCCGTTAGGGGTTTAGTATCATACCATTATTACATATATGAGAAGAACAAAACTGGTTTTTAAATAAATGTGTTTAGTGCCGATGCAAAGACCCTATAAGTGAATCAATATTAACGCAAAAACATCTTTAGTGACCTGACAACAGTATCGTAACTATATCCCTTCTTAATAAGTCTATTTTAAGGTTTTGTTAGCTTCAGAGGTGAATACTGACATTTTTGTGCTTTATAAAGAATATTTCCATAAAAAATTGGATGTGAAATACCTGAACGTATAAGAAGTCTGCATGTTGAGCTATATTTAAGAATGATGTCCTTATACCGATGACAAAAATTTAGTAAATGTTTTGACTAGTTTGTGATATCGAAAACCCTGGTGTAATAATTTTTCAGTAATACATAAATTTCTCTCGTTAAAATCTAAAACATTGGTACATGCACGAGCGAATCGTACAAATTGAGATATATAAACACCGTAAGATGGTGACAAGGGAACGTCACCATCTAAAAATGGATAATTAACGATAGGAAATGAAAAATCATCTCTTTTATCATATATTTTAGTATTAAGCTTTCCATTAATGATATAGATATCAAGATCGAGGAAAGGGTAGATTATATGTAGTTTCTATAAAATGCAATTATAATTCATCAGTAAAAGATACATGATTATTTGTTAGTGGAATTATATATAACTTAATAAATGAATATTTATATTAAAAGAAACATCCGAAAGAAGAATATGTGTCCATTAGATTGCACGCCAGTATCACATTTCCGTGTTAAGTGAGCTCTAAATCCAGGAAAAAATCCAATTCAGTATGTAGCCTTAAACTTTTAAATCCCGAGCGAGATGTCTAATATTCAAACATTGTTGTTTTTAAAACGTATTTATCAAAGTCAAACGACATTAATTTAATTTTTTTTTGTGCTATACAGTTTGTGATTATGGCCGGATCCAAGATATTTGAAAAAAGGGCGTAGTTCCCGATAATTGAATTTAAACTGCCGAGCGGAGCAACGCGAAAAAAAATTTGGACGATTTTATACTAAACATTTGTATAGATAACGTGGAAAACGTGAGATTTTCTAAATTATTTGGCGATCGAAAGGGGGGAGTACGCCCTCTCCCCCTGTTTCTGCGAATGCACGTTTAGGTATACATGGACAAAAACCTCGTCCAATGCATTATCATAGTTAAAGACTAAAAAGTACTATTTGATAAATGTATCAATGATATGAATTTCTGCTCACGTCAAATTATCTTGAATTAAATTATAGAAAAATAATTTAAAAAAAAAAGTTAGTCGCGTACACCTTTTACATTCGGGTGTGTTGGAATCTACTTTTTAAGCGTAAAAACTTATAAAAACAAAAAAAGAGATAACCTTCTCGCTTCGGATTTCATTATTTTAATATTTTCATGCTAAATTTTTACTTGGTAGTTTTTAAATTCATATTTTGTGAAGAACTGAAATATGGGTCAAGTGAAATGACAAGAAATGATGGGTGTATTTGATTACAAGTTGCTAGCTTGCTTATTCCATTAAATATTTTAGTCAATAAATTCATTCAAAAATTAATAACAACATATTTAAAGATTAAAAAAAAGTAGTTGGGGTTGATTTTTACATTTAGTCTATATCAGCAAAAAATGCGTGTCGAAAGAGCAAAAAATGCATTTAGTGTATGCTCCCCTCCGTCATGCTTCAATGCAATAGGACGAAATACGCTGAGATAGGTCGGTTATGTCGAGTAACGTCATTTTATTGGAAATCTCTAATAAGGGTTAACGATTTCACCTGTAACACGATGAAAGTTTATCAATTTCCTCAAAAATCGTAAATGAAAAAAATGATATGATAGAAGGTTTAAAGGTCAAGTTGAAAGAGAAAAAGCAAACAATTCTAAAGTTTTAAAAGCACTTTTGAACACAATGCACCATAAAATCTTGAAATTTCGCGGTTATTACTCATAAAACCTACATGCAGTTATACCGAAAAAAATACATTTACGGACTAATAATTCTTTAAGAGTTCTCTGTAATTTTATTATATAATTAATTATAGACGTTTAACATTCAAATTTAGCAATGTAATACAAAAATACTGTAAGAAAGGTACATTAGAATCATTATATAAAAAGAAAAATATAAGCATTCTTGGTCTTCCATTATCGAATATGGTATATTACTCAATGCATTAAGTATAATGAAATCAACAGTTTCTTAAATTAAATTTGCAAACGCTCGTTTGACCGAATAACGGATTGCTGTTCAATCTTGAGTCAACGATATCTGAGGTGCTTTTGTAGGTGTTGCTGTGTCTCAAACAGGCATGACAATGAAGGTCGTATGAAAACAAAACTTTACGACAATACCAACAATAGTGATGACTGCAGCTACCCACTTGTGAACTTTGTTCGTAGTATGTTCGTAGTATGAATCACTCCCATAATTTTAGAGTTTGCGGTTTTAATGATGATTTTTGTACTGATAAAATTAAGATATGGACCTATCCAAGGGATCCAAAGATAATCACGCCAGAAGTTTATCGGTCGCCATCACGAATTGATTGATTGTTATGGATTATTTGTGCCACAGATGATCGCATATTTTGAAATTGTCGGAACCTGAATCCCATCCTTGTATTCTATTTTTTGACATCACTAAGTAAGACTTACTCTCGAACGTGTACTTGTATGAATAACACGATATGAGTTATGTTAACTGTTCAAGTTCATACAATGACTTATAGTTGTTTATATTCACGTCATATGGACACCAATGGATCTTCAATGCAGCGAGAAACTCCCGCACCCGAATGCGTGCTTCAGCTGGCCCCCAAACAAAAATGTATACTAGTTCAGTGATAATGGACGTCATACGAAACTCCGAAATATATTCAAGAAACTAAAATTAAAAATCATAAAAGACTAACAAAGGCCAGAGGCTCCTGACTTGGGACAGGCGCAAAAATGCGGCGGGGTAAAATACATTTCCAATTATCAAAATGCCGAAAGAAAATTTGGCCGTATTTTAAATATAAGCTTTGTTAATCTGTAAGTATTTACTACATTGTGCGCTTCTAATAGAAAAATATAAATAGGAAAACCCTCCATTAAATGACATTGTACAAGATGTTATTTTGTTTAAATTGTGACTGAAGTAAATTGTGTGTTTTTAATAGCAGAAGACAGTACAGTACAGTTGAGATGTAATTGTTTTTAATTCCTGAAGCGGCTTCACATGAGGCCTTTGAGGGCTTCCAAGATAATGAGAAAAAAATACACCTCTTACCTGGAAAATTTTAGTACATCTGTGAAAATGTGTCGGCATCGAAACTAATCATTATACATATGCAAGTCAACGATATGGATAGAGTATAAATTGAAAAGTCTAGCATTGTCCCTGCTTAAAATGAATTGCGCATATTGACCCAGATGCACATTTATACAATGTATGCCTCTTCATTAATTGATTCTTTTGTTTAAAATATTTGAAAATTTGAAATCGATTACGAACGTTGAATGGCTATTGAAACATAAAAGAGACCCAAAAGATATTTGTTTAAAAAACTTTAAAACTAGCACACTTTGCTGATATTGTGTTACTTTGTAATACAACTTTGACCATTTCTACAATTTTCTATTCCAATCAAACGTATGTTACGGACATTTTCTTAATTCATGCATAAATGTTTAGGCAATTTATTGTTTCATTCATCAGGCTGATTTATGTAAGCGTTATTCTTTAGCCAAATGTCGAATTCCTCCATGCAAAGATGTTTTAAAAGCATTATTTCCTACTTAATTATACTTATTTTTACATCACAGATATATGATATTAGTAAATCAGTAGCCAGAATATTTGTGAAATAGCACGCTAAAAATAAAGCGGTTTCGCTATCATTGTTAACATGGACAACGTCACATTCTCTCTCCATATCACTCCATACAATACCCTCATATTCTCCTCTACATGCCGCATGAAGTACACTTTTTCCTAAATCATCTACAACCAATGGCATACCAGATTTCATTATCCTCTAAGGTATCATGTTCACTAGCATGATGAAATGAATCTAGTAGGTACTGTAGAAAGGCCTTAATAAAAATCATTCTTTTTTAGGCAAACTTTAGTGAAAATGATGTTTTTTTCAGTAAAAATGGGTTACCTGCATTTACCAGAGGTAGTTGATGTGTTTCAATCATCTTTTTCAATAGCATACCAACTATGGATGGGAAACAACTTGCATAAATAGTGCATTGTAACCCTCACAATCAGCAATACATGGGTTAACACTATTTCGCAACTTAAGTTTAACAATTTCTTTCAGAATCTTCTTATAGCCGTCTGAACTTGTATACTCCGTTCTATCGGTGACATTTGTTATAACATTATTGTCAGATAGAATGTCATCGTTTTCATCCTTATTTAATCAAGGTTTGTACTCTTCATCCATAACCTCATTCAAGCAGGCTTCATGCAGTGCTTTTCTATCAAACACATGTCTGATCTTTACATCACATTTCCTATCATAACTTCCTTTTTATCTTGAAAGTTTATGACTATTTTTACAAGCTTCATGATGACGACTTTCACTAACCTTTTCACACTTGTATGAGTGCCACAATCTTTAGTCAGAAGAAAACTCACAACACCAATATTACCATATTTGCAAACAATTGAGACAATCATATCTATATTTGAAAATAGTTTAAACAATCTCTAAATAACCTTCTTCACAAGCTGTTTTTTGTTTGTTTGATCCGATATTTAAATATCAATGAACATGTCTTAAGTTTAAAATATTATTTCAAAACTGCTTCACTGCAAAGATTAGTGTTGTGTGTCGTTGTAATTCTTATGCTTGTCGTTTTAACAAAAAACTGCATAAGAATTCAACATCCATACAATGACGAAAGACAAAGAGGCAAATATTTTTACGAATTAATTCCACAATGTATTCCTTTCTAGAGAAAACAAAATGATCAATTTCTCTTGATATGATTTAAATTGATATTTTTTGTATCCAATACGAAGTGAAATTCTCTTTTTATCTCTTTTTCCAAACGACTAAAGTGCAAGTGTTCCGAGCTAAAGTGTATCATAATGATTAAGTCATGGTGTTCTTCATCTATTCATTCAAACTGTATCTTACTTGCAATAAACCCTAAAGCCGCATATTTGACAGGCGCTTAAAAAGGCTAGTCCTTTAATTCAATTATGTATTAAGGTAGATTCATGGTATATCGCTATCTTGGATTGTACTATCACAGTACACAACCAGTCTAGTTATCTGCCCAAATCTGCAGATTGGAAGACAGAGGTGCAATTTTATCGGTTAGACTGTTTATCTATATGAAAAAAACTTGCTGATTTATTGCATTATTCAAACTATTTACATATATACCAAACATTTGTGTTTTAGAATCAATGTTTTCAACTGAGCCATTTAAAGGGAGATAACTCTTTTAGTAAAATTCTTATACTGGACTGATAGGGAAAATTTTTATTTTTACTTGTAGCAAGAAAACAAGTTCGGTGACACTATTTTTTCTTATTATTATCCTCAAACATATTAAAACACCTATCTTCTCACAATTTATTTCAAAATTCTATCACATAGATTTCTTTTTTATGCACAAAGATGCATTTTTTCATGATCATTCTAAGCAAATGTAGGCAATGCTCAACGACTCATAGCTTGAAAAATAGTACGGTGACCCATCCTATCTATTTAATTTTGGAAAGAGCATAGTAAAATCATCTTCTGAGCAAAGTATAAGAAAATTCTATCTCGGGAAACTTATACCTATGGTCTACCTTAATTAATAATTAGCCTGTGATATGATATTTCAAGCTAACCATTTGATTGCCTATAACATAAAAATGTGCTCGGTATATTGGCCAAATTTTAACTTAATCAAATTATATTCCTTGTTAGAAATATTAGTCTGAAAAGAAGACTTCCAGTCTTAAAAAAATATATTTAGCTACTGATCAGAAAAAAAAACCCGGACACATTTACCGGAAATTATATAGATGAAGTACAAATAATAATGAAACGGAAAATACAGGTATGAAAGATCTGTCATCAACACCAAATGCTCCTTTGTACAAAAAGCATCAAGATATTACACAAGATAACCTCTGACCAGGTTTTTGCGTTTGGACAGTGGCAATATAAATTCTGATTTGATTAACATTTAAAAGAAACATGATTTCTTAAGAAGAATAGTAAAACAACTAAAGTAAAGTAAATCTAAAATTGATATAGTATGAACAAAAACTGAATAATTTCCTTCTCTTGACAATGTATAACATACATATGACTATAAGGAAGAATAACAATCTTCAAAAGTGACACAATGACAAACGTGATTTAATAGAATGTTTTGATTGAAAAAAATAAATGAATATCAAACTAAAATTTCATCTAATATACATATCTCACCACTGAATTATCTTTAGGACTTGACGATTAGGCCAACTTCATTAAGTCCTCTAATCGAAAATTGCCTTGTCCGTAGACCTTTAAGTATTTGAAAACTATCTAAAATTGAATAAAAATGTGGAATGCAGTGAAAGTAAAACCAGAATCCGTCCATGAAGATAACTGTCATTACTTTTTTTGCCGTCAGTAATATATTTTAGATTTGACATCTCCCATGCCTAAATGCTCTTGTGAGCCTGTTTAGCTCACCTGCATCTTCAACAATGACAACGTTATAGTATAACTCATCGTTAAAGTGGACAACTCAATTAAGAGTTAACTTTAATTTCATTTATGTCGAAGTATTTGTAGACCATATCCTACTGGTCAGTTATCCTTTTTTTATTTATCTATTATCGTTTATACTTGTAAGATAATGACCAGGAAATGCAAAAGACAAATGGTAAAAACCATTATAAAAACAATAACAAATCGATTAAAGATTTCAGCCCAGACAGCTGATTTCTATATCTTGTCTTGCTGATCATTTTTGTTTTTCTAAAGTTTCTATCTAATAGTGTCTATTTCAACATAATAGGACAAATGCAAAAGTTAAAATAAATATTCGTTAAAGGGAAATAATTTCTATTAAGGAAACCGAAACGATTTTAGTCATGCAGGCTAATTTGAAGATCTTGTCTTGCTAATATATTTTTTTTTTGAATTTCAAAGTCTCTATCTTTTATAGTTTTCAAAAAAAAGGCAAAAATGCAAAAGTTAAGGGAAATAGTCATTAAAGGGCAATACGTTCAATAGGGAGTGATATATATCAATATTGATATAGAAAAGAATAATTGACATGGAGATATGTCTCGCATGTCGGCAGAAAAATTCAAAAAAGGCAATCTTATAGGAAACTTTGAAGATTTCTTATAAATTGAAAGTCGCGGGACCACAACATACGGACAGTGGCTACACAAAGTCGTCAACCTGATATGTTCCACTTTACATATTAAGCAGAAAACTTAACAAAGAGTGACTCAACCTTGCCAACGCCGCAAGTAAAGCAACACTTATGTCTTGCTTTCCGCGACTTTTATCACTGAGGAGACAGAAACACGGAATAATTTGCCTTCTCTCGACAATGTATTAGAATTAAATACATATGATAGAAAAAGAATAATGACAATGTACAATGTACAAAAGAAACTCAAGGATAAACGTAACTAAAATTAATTTTTATTTAAAAAAAACATTTGTATATCGAACTGAAGTTGTATCTATAAATATGACATCGCTGAAATGTCACCAACTTCGAGGACAGGACGATTGAGGCTACTTACTATTCATTTTGCATGTATGAATGACACAAGATTCATCTCTTCATTATATTACGTACTCGAAAGATACACATTGTTACTGTTGTTCAGTTGTGTTTATGCTTCCGTGTTTCGTCAATATCGGAAAGCGAGTTGCGGTATCTGTCGCATGAAAGGTGGAAACACATCAATTCTAAATCCTTATTTATTATATTTATCCAAATATTTCAATTTTCACAGATATCTTAAAATGGTTTACTTAAGTTTAACTCCATGTGGACCTGGTTTTACTCTAAATTGTACATGTGCTTCCTTCAATATGCAAATTTACAACCAACATATACAATTGAGGTGGCATATGACGTTCTGCAACTCACATAGAACCTAAGATTGCATTCTGGGTGTTGGAAACCTTTAATAAACGTTATATGTAGCACATCTACAGAAAGTCAACATTTATCATAAAAACAAAATCTAGGTCAAAATATAACGAACCCTGCCTAACAGATTTGTACAAATAAGAAGATGCGTACACACATTTTAACATATACGCCACGGTCCAATTGCATGTCCACATTAGATGCATGATATGGACATCATTTGCATGGTATGCTCCTGACACATAAACGCGCTTTTAGATTGAAAAATCGACAATATATCAGTTAACCAACACTATACAGCACACTGTTGTCACATTTTTGTGGTCTGAGTAATTTTTACGGATTGTGTCCTATTCCTGATTGAGACAATTTGACTGTTTATTGATTTACATGGTGGGTGATTCATGTTTAGGAGACACTTACCTCGTAACACAGAGTCTCGCTCTCTGGGCATTAAGTTTTTTTTAATTTTTATCGTGATTTTATCTCAATCTGCTTAATAGCTTTATGATTTTGAATATCGGAAATTTACGGTTGCCTCTTATTTATAGGAATTCAACAATGTAAAAACGGTATAAAATCAGTAAACATATATACAGTATACATTCCGTACATTCGCTAAGGAAGTTTAACTCTGGAATTATTAAATATTACAAAAATTGTATTAAAAAAGATTTTTGATTGCTTGACACATAACATGTTCACAGAGCAACAACATGGTCGACATTTCAATCTTATCTTCGTAAGGTTCTTTGGAAAAATACGTTTATCAGAGTACATTCTCCGTTTTTCTGTCGTTTAATGTGCATGGTGAAAAAAAAACTTATTTGCAAATTTTCGTAAAAATTACATCGTGGGATCAAAACTGTAGCATATGCTCTTCAACTTCGTACTTTATTTGGCCTTTTTAATTTTTTTTTATTCGAGCGTCACTGCTGAGTCTTTTGTAGACGAAACGCGAGTCTGGCGCAAATATTTTTTTTTAATCCCGGTATCTATGATGAGTTTAATTAAACAGTAACAAACAGAGACACACATTATGACAAACACATTCGCATTAAAAGATTTATTCCTACCGATATAAAAAAAAAGAGAAAGAAGATATCATAGGGTAATTAAATAGCATATCAGACCAATAAAAATGGACATCGCTGCTAATAATAAAAATTACGAAAGGACAAACAGCAATAACAAAATATGGAAAACGAACACTTCATAGTGAGCAACATAAAAACCATAAAGAAATCGGGGGTGAGCTCCGATGCTCTTGAAGGATTCACACTTGCAAGGTACTGCTCCAAGTGTGACACCTGTCGTGTTACTTTTGTCAAAACATGGCAATGAGCAACATCCAGTGATTAGGTTTGATAAATGTCTTTGGTCTAACCCTAAGTCATCTCCATAAGCAAATACAGCGGTGCACATTAATTCTGTGACCATTATTATTACTTGAGTGTGAAAGTTTAAAGCCAAATATGAATTTTCAGGAAGAAATTGACAAATAAAACGCAGGTCTTATACTGGAAGAGACAACATAGATATTGATAAATAACGAGCACAAAATACAACACTGAATATTAAAGCAAAGGAAAACACACACACTTCTTTTAAACAGACAAGGGATAATACCTGTTAGAGTATGCACTTCCTGTTCCAACTTTGATATCTGTCGAGTTGAAAAGCGCTTAAAATGGCACAATAATATTATTATATAGGTTAATATAGACCAATTTCGTTGAATTTCCGTCAAACACTGGTTTTAGTGAACATCGTGCGTTTAGGGGCAGCATCACTTCTTTCCCATGTTGAGCGAGAGGTTAAAAACATAATGCTATATTGCACAAATTATTCGTTAAATTAAATTCTTCTACATAATTATCAGCACTACCTTAAATAGAATTATGTGAATAAGTATCTACGGAACAAACATTTTTTTCTTGCATTATGACGATCACGAAGACGCCTGGTGATCTTGAATTGTGCAGGGATAGAAGACATCCCCTCTATCTGGTATGGACATAACTCGAGAGTGGTCTATAAGCCTGTGATTTTTTTTAAGGTAAACGTCTAATTGCCTATAGCAGAAAAAATGTGCAAGGTACAAATCAAGGTTTTCGGAATTATACTTTTCCCAACAAGAAGCTTATTTTTGTTTGAGATCTAATTAATCTCAATTATTTTAAGTCGATAACAGGTATGACGTCTATTGTTCTTTCTTTCCCAGTTTGACATAAGGAAACGGCAACCGATGTCGTCACGTAGACATTTTGTTTGCATATAAATTAAAATGGTTCTCCGTTCTCTACGGCTAAATGAAGTATTTAAAAAGCTTGACAAGCCTCGTGATGAAGATTTAATTTTGTCTAGAGAAGCAATATCGTATCGTTCTCGATGTAATAGTTTTTAATGTTTTATAAAAGAAAAACGTTGAATGAAATGAAAAATCAACTGCATTTAACAGTTTAAGCAATATTTTAATAGGATATATAAATATTAAACATTTTCTGTGTATATAGATAGATACATTTACAAAAATGAGTATAAATAAATAACAAAATGAATAATGAAATGAAAAAAAACAAAACAAATTGAAATATATAATTATTGAAACTGTAGATGTTTTTTACGTGAATAAATGATCCATGTACCTGCTTTTAAAAAACATCATTGCATTACCTTCATATAATACTAATCATTATATGTTGTCGACCTGAATTTGCATGAAAGTTTTGCTATTGAACGTTAAGCATAACAAATATCAAACGTATGACTTTCAACATGTTAACTGTTTTATTTAAAACCCTGAGCAATTCATATCTTTTAAGTCTTGTGTTGTTAAGTCTTTACACAATTGTTTGACGTAAATTCTTTTAAAAGTCTGTCCTTCTTTGACCGTTCATGACTTATCCTGAAATATGATTTATAACTTGTCGTCAGGCGAAAAACAAACGATGTCTATTGCGAAATATGAACTGTTTACCATTCTAGTTCTTTGTGCTGTGCATTTCAGTCTATTTTTGCAAAGGTATTGTTTGTGTTGGTTTGATAAGAAATAAACTCATCATAGATACTAGGATTGAAATTTTATATTTGCACCACATGTGGAGCAGGATCATTTTGCGTTTTGTTTACAAAAGACTTATCAGTGACGCTCGAATAAAAAAATGTTAAAAATGTTTTTATTCTATGTTCCACTTTTTATTATCTTATAGCTTTTTTTCAATTTTGAAAGTGTTAAGTTGTTTTGATTATTTAGATTTCTCAATTTCATTCAATTAAAAAAGTGCTTACCCACTTGTAGATAATGTACTAGTGTTTGAGTACTTGTGATGCAATGCAGTGGTCCCTGTTTTGTGTGCATAAAATGTAAACAAAAAATTTTTTTTTGAGTCACTGTGTTAGTGTAAGTTGGAAAGATATCACAAAAAAAAGGAATGTCATAACTGATTTAATTTGTAGGATCATAATCTTGCTTGACTTTCTTTTTAAAAGACTGGATTTATGTAATTGTGTCATACAAGCGAGAGGTTTAGCGCTATAAAAAAAGGTTCAATCCATCATTTTCTACATTTGAAAATGTCTGTTTCAAGTCAGGAATATGACAGTTGTTGTCCATTCGTTTGATGTGTTTTTTCATCTGATTTTGCCATTTGATAAGGGACTTGCCGATTGAATTTTCCTCGGAGTTCAGTATTTTTGTGATTTTACTTAATACTTTAAAAATAGTGAACAAAATAGTTGGAAACCAAAACAGTTGAAGAGCAGCATTTGGGACCCAAAATTTCAAAAATATTGTGCCAAATACGGGTACGGTAATCTGTTCCTGGGATAAAAAATCCTATTTTGAATAATTCATACTTTTGCAAACAGTAAATTCATAAAAATGATATTCATGTCAACATCGAAGTGCTGACTAATGGGTTGGTGATACTCTCGGAAACGAAACGTCCACCAGCAGTAGCATCGATTCAGTGGTGTGAATAGTAATCAAAGGTACCACCGTTTGTTATAACACAGTTTGTTTTAAGTTTTGTCACCGTGATCATTTCACAAATAAAAAAACATCCAACATTTCAACATAAAGCAATATAAAATTATATTATATAGATAAATTCCCGAACAAATTACTGCTTTAAATTTGTGAGATAACAAAAAAACAAATATTTAATATAAAGAACATTTAGTCCAGCCTACAATGTTTACAAATAAAGTATAATCACCGCTTTTCGAAATGATTTGTTTCGTAAAAGGGGACAATTGTTCCGGCACTATTTGGAATTTTCAGTTTACATGCACCATTTATTGCCATGTTATCTGGTAATGTTTCTGATAATGTTGTCCAATGTCCAGAATCAGTACAAAAAACGTGAATGTCTTTGCACTTTCTATCCCTAAAATATCCCCCTGCAAGAATAATTGAGCTCTCTTTCGTAAACATGCCGAAATCTTTACATTCCTGAATTTGATCCGGTAACGAAAAGTACGATCCCTGAATTGGGGAGAATCTTATGAAATGTTTCTCGTCAGAGGCAATGTAAATAAAAGAGCCAACAACACAGGTTTTCATCTGATTGAAAGACAAATGGATTTCCGAAAGTTTCTTAACTATTTTCGTGCTAGGATGAAAGACATACACAGCAGTTGCATTTGGTTTGATTTCCTCTTTTTTATCCGAAATGGGGGAAAAGACATAAATCAATTCGTTATAAACAACACACGATGAATTTATTGGATAAGCATCTCCAGGAAGGCATGCCACTTTCTTCCATGCATCTTTTTTCGTGTTATATTCTTCGATTTCCAAGACTTTACGACCCATATAGACACCTCCTATCACATAACACCAACTTCCATGCGATATCATATTGAACTTTGCTCGTTTACATTTGAGAGATGCTCGTTGCTTGCATTTGTTCAGAAGTGGGTCGTACTGATACACAGAACTTCCAAATGACCAATAAATAATTGGTGGATCGTTTTCGTCGCGTTGAATGCAGCAACATTGAAACAGTTTACTGATTTTATTTCCTGTTTTTATGTCTTTATAACACCTATTTCTCAAGTTCGAATCGTAAACAATGGTTGTAATAGACATACGTTTTGACCCACAACAACAGATTGTGAAAAGAGAATAGTATTCTGTATAGTTTTCTGTTCTCGAATTTTCCAAAGACCCTCGAGTTGAGTTGTCACGTTGTTTAATGCATAATTTGCCTCCCTTAATGGAGTATTTATTATTTTTAAGTGCAAGTGCAAGTGCCTCCGATTGTAAATGGCTGAACTCGTAATTAATAGCAAGCTTATAATATTCAACACAATTTACTGCGCTCAAGTTAGAAATTAATTTATTTTCACAACATTTCAGTGTGTTGCGTAAATTAAAATTTTTAGCGACAAAGAGATAATGATCCATGTTCTCAATGTCTAAGCTGTCATTCGGCTCATCCGTGCTGAGAACTTTCGCAAGTTGTTTTCTAACTCTTTCATTTGGCAGGTTATGAACGTACTCAGCAATGTTAATTTGGTGATCTCTATTATCTTTAAGAATTGCTTCGTCGGAGTAGGAATACGAACATGTTCTACTGTCTTTTGAGTTCTCGTTTCCAGAGCAAAAAATTTGTAACTGATGACCCCTCTGAACAATATTTGGAGGATCTTTATCAAGTGCATCTGGAACCATAGGCAAAGATGATTCTTGTTCCTTATAATGACCATTTGGCCCCATCGGTGACATTGGCAACTCTCCTTCTGTCATGTTTACGTCTAAAATATATCAAATGATTATTATACATTGCACTTAACATGCCATTTGTAGATCAACATGCTTTGAAATAAAATATTTGTATTCCATGAACTTTACGATACAAGTTCAAAACCACGGAAAAATATATGAAAAAATTAGCTAAGTTATAAACTGCGGTGTTAAATTATGATATATTGAAAAATATGTTACCACGTTTATGTCGTTCAATGTCGGACTTGAGGTCTTGAATAGCTTGAATAATGTTTTCATGTCCTCTATTAACACTGTCATTGACAACTTTTATCTGCAACATAAAGAAGTAGAAACTCATTTGCGATAAGTACATATGCATTATATAATAAAAGAACATGCATGTTTTTTAGTATATTAATTTTGTCTCCAAAAATTAGAATGGTAAACATTTCAATACTTGAATTTTTAATTGTGTAAAGAAACATATTGTGTTCGATATTTCTTTATATTAAAGTGCATTTTTGTTGTTATATTAATTATACCGTTTAGTATGGTAAGCAATTTATCGTTTATGTAGGCTTTGTTTCATGAGAAAATGTAATTATATACTACACATCTATGTTCAAAAATTCATAACTGGAAACATTTCAATATCTGTATAATGATGAAGGTGGAAATTAAGTGAGGACTGTTAAGATCATTTGAATTAAAAAAGTCTAAGTCTCACCTCAGATTCCAAGTGTTCTATTGTTGTAGATTCTGCGCAATACGTAAAATACTGTTGCATCAATGTTTCATCTAATGTTCTGTTTAGAACATTTTCATATCTTTTCAAATATATTTGTGTACTATCAAGATGTTTAATAGAATACCCTAAAGTATTCATTAAACTCTCGAAATCCAAATTCGACAACCTACAATTCGGATTATGACTGATAAAATCGTTCTTCATCTCCCGAATCTTTTGGACGGCTTCTTTTTCATTAGGCATCAAATTGCAGCAATTAATCAGAATTAAGCTAAGAAGAGAAAGATCAAGATCAGTTTCGTGAACACTTTTTGGCGTTACACAACACATGCAAATTTTATTTTGGTCTTTTAGATTTTGTTTACAACAACGAGCTAGATCAGAGTCATAGAGGATGTCCCATTGTTTTTTAGAAAGAACTCTTGACGGCTGTGTTCTACAACCTTTCCAGCAGCATGAGTTGGCTTGGAAAAACAGATGGAAAATAGTATGCAAGACATTATAATCTTTCAGGAATGTTTGCAAATTTGAATTTCTGTATGACTGTTTAAGTCGGTATCGCAATACATCAGCAACTACTTCAGTTATTAGACAAATGAATCGGAAAAAATTCTCCTTCTCGCTTCCCATCCTGAAATTAGATCATGTTTGATATTAATATAACAATGTACGAGATAAAAATTATAAACTGAACAAACATTACTGGTTTATTATAAATGTTATATTTAAAACATGCACTACTCATGCAATATTTTATTAAAAAGACCCCATCGATAATTGGCTTCTTCAATGAAAACATAGATAACTGTCTGACGGAATTAATTTGAACTACATCGTTTAAAAGGAACTAAAACTGAATTGCCAGGAAGAGTGCAGAACAAATTAATATTCAATAAAACAAAATTAGGATCACTGGAAAGGAAATGTTAATTTTCTATCGTAAAAACATCTATTTCGACACATTATGATACTTGAATTCATTTTATGCAAAAATGAAAAGATAAAATATTTTTGAATTATTATTTTTACAATATGACTGGTTTTGATTGTGTTATAAAAAATTCTGCGTTGCAAAACAGCTTAACTCTAGCAAAGATAGAATTACATGACAAAGGCAACACATCTAGTCATGAGTATTTGAAAAAAATATGACTGTTTAGTCATGAATGAACAGAAATACCCCATGAATGTGCCCGTGCTTTATTTCTTATATATTTTTTAAAAGAACATAGGAAAGAGGGATTAGCGTATGACGTGAATAATAAAAAAGATTATCATACTATAAAATCAAAATACTAGATGTTTATCAGATATAACTTCAATATTTCTAAGGAATGCCTACTCGGTAATTGATTTCAGTCTATAAATAAAAAGCATGCCAGTTCTAAACTGTATTGAAGATGGTGTAACACGAGATGCTTCTTGAATAAATATATTCAGCGAATGTTATAAGTTCGCCACATGTATGTTTATTATTGAACCTAATATTGAAATTGCATGAATATACAAAACCATCGAAGACTTGAACTACTTTTAAGTTGCGGAGCGACTTACAAGAATTTATACTCCTAAATTTGACTTAACTTACGCAAAGAATCCTCAAATAATACTAAACATTACATAAATTGTGAGATAAACAACGACAAATGGTGGAAATATTGCTGTTTGTCACTACAAAAGTCCAAAAGTCAGAAAAGACCAATTTTTGTCTTGATTTGCATGAAATTTTACTTGACATTCTCGAAAAGTATGACTTGTGTCCTAATTTTTCTTGACAAATTCTGATTTAAATTAAATTTGTAAGAATTTAATAGACAAATTCTCGACATTCTGAATATGATCTTAAATCTTCTTGACAAATTCTTTACATTTGAATACTGTCTTGAAATTTCTCGACAGATTCTCGACATTCTTATTTTTTCTTAGTATGGCTTGACATATTCTAAACATTTTGAATTGTGTCTAAAATTTTCTTGAAAATTCATGGCCAATATACATGATATAACTTTATCTTTATTTCTCTTTATATAATATACTGTTGTTTAAAGTTACACTGATTAAAACAAAAACAAAAGTTGGGTATGTAAATATAAAATAGTGAAAATGTTAGGTATATAAATATTTAAAAAAATACAAATATAACTATGAAATTTAAAGTATTAACAATACAAATGTGGGTATGTTGATATAAACCAATTTAAATGTGGTTTGAAAATAATTACAAATGTTGATTCCTTATCTTATAAATAATTGATAAATGATTAAAACCAATCATACTGTAGACATATTTCATTCTACATGCATAATATTCAATGTTAATATGGTAAATAAACAATTTTTGTACCACAATGTGATTTTTATAAATAGCAAAGTATTATTGCATCCTAATTCTTCCAAGGATTTGTATAAAAAATCCTTGATTTAACAGAAGAACATTTGTGTAATGTAATCTGTTGCAATATATATCAAGTATTACGCATGGACAGGATGTTCCCCAGAAAATTAATGTATTCCAAATCAGTTATACACACCCTCAGGGTACACGCGACTGTCATATGGAAAATTACTGCTTTACCGGTAATTAGCCATGCAACTTATCATTTTAGAATGTAGGACAGAAAGTCACAGGACAAAAAGTCACGGACAAAAAGTCACAGACATAAAGTCACAGGACAAAAAGTCACAATTCAGTTTTGAGATTATTTTTCTTTGAACAAGTGTTTTAATTATTTGGAAAATATTTTGTTTGTTTTTTCTCTAAGTTTTATATACATGAAACATGTGATATATGAAGCAACTTTGTAATTAAAATTTATTCAATAAATATCAATAATGATCAAATAATTGTTATGAAAACAAAATGTCAAAGTGGCTTGGTACTAAAATGGCTTCATTTTGCCAATAAATATATCCTTTGCATGATTAAAATATAATACATTTTCATTTATCAAGGTTTATGAGCAATTTCCTTAACTTAAAAAGGAATTTATGTAATAAAAATGAAATATTTCAAAATATATTTAAACAATTGTCAAAAAATTACTTGTGACTTTTTGTCCTGTGACTTTCTGTCCGTTTACCTCATTTTACTGCCATTAAAATTTAAAAAGTTTTAATTTTAATTAGAGTTTTTAGAATTAAAATGGATTTCCTACATCAAAATTATGAAGTGAAATAATTAAACATAAAAACAAATTGGTTAATTTCCCAAAGATTAAAAGAAAATTATTATCTACTCTGGGAATAATAGAAAACTGTATTTATTATTAAAGGGTCCCATCAATGATTTCTATAGAAATCATTGGTCTTTTGAAATGGATCTAACACAGACATGCATAATTAAGATCTAAACATTTTTTTTATCTATGATTTCTTGAGAAAAAAATCAGGAGGGACGTATAACCAAAAATTTAGTTTAGCAATAATAAAAATGAGTATATAACAGCAAAGGCAATTGTTTAAACAGTGCGGAATGTGTCTATTCACAATTCAGGCGAAATTTTATAAAATTGAGATAGTGTCAAGACATCTTTTAGACCGTCAAGCATGTGTCCAGATATATTCATACAGCTTTAAGACTGTCAAAGATGTGTCAAGACATATTCAGACATTATTAAGAATGTCAAGAATATGTAAAGACATATTCAGACATTATTAAGAATGTCAAGAATATGTCAAGACTGATCGAGACGAATTTAAGACAGTCAAGAATTGGTCGAGACTAATCAAGACTCTTATCAGATGATACTAAAAGTGTCAAGAAAAATCAAGAACCTTATCAGCCAAATTCATACTATGTTAAGAATTTTTTAGAATAATTAAGACAAAGAAAGAATGTCGAGTACAAATTCATGCAAATTCAGACAAAAATTGGTCTTTTCAAACTTTTTGACTTTTGTAATGAGTTACATATAAAGATCCATAACAGACATAGTATATTATTGTAGTTATTGATAAGAATTAAGATCATCAGAATAAACGTTTGTGATAAAGAAAACTGCATCGCTATTGACGTGATTACATCAAAGAGGACATCAGCTGCATAAAACAATGGTTGCAATGTGACATGTACTATTTAACAAATTTAGTGATGTTAGATAAATTGACAAAAAGGAAGTACAAACGTTCGAAATAGATATTAAATATATATTTGAAAAAAGGTTGGTTTTATATGGATAATTGAAAGACTTCACCATCTGTAAACTAAATTAAGTCGTTTAACTCATTGGATGTTGATAGCAGACAGACTTGACACTTACAACTGGTTTGCTTCGATTTACATGTAACACTCTCTAGCAGTTAAAAATCCAGATTATTTGAAATGTATTACCACTAAGGAAAAAAATATAATCCTTAAAAGATGGATGAACTGCCCAAATAAATGAAACAGAAATCATTACAAGGAATTTTTTTATTACTTTGAAATAAAATAAAACTTGAAGCTTTATTCGATTTACAATGGGTATTACTTGTAAGCAATAATTGATATTTTAATACGTTAAAAAAGATTGCTACTTTTTTTTTTCATTCTTGTATCTACGATTGCTTTAATTTCCTATAAAACAAAGGTGAACCAA